GTTCAGTTATCCTTGTGCAATCTCAAATCCTAATTCCAGTCATCAGTGCTTAAGGAGGTGTCTTGAGCTGATCAATCCTTGTGCAATCTTGAACCAAAGGAGATCTTGTGAGAAAATATTTGATAAATGAGAGGGCAAATTTTGGGGTACAACAGTTGGATATATAAGTAAGACTTAGAAGAATGAAGAGAACTACTAATTTACGAAAAACTTCACTGAAACGCCTCGGGATCCCTTTAATTTTGATGTAAATTCGATTTTTTCCTAGAAGCTTCCAAGAGCCACTCATTGCCATGCCTCGTGCACCAGCGACCAGTCATCGTCCTCGTCGGCCTCATGTGTTACATACCCACCAACTTTCACTTGATTCTTCTCTTAACCGCATCGTACTGAGAGGGGCCTGATATGATACCATATGTAATACCCATACTGCTTTCAGGGTTACCGACTGACCCCACAAACTAACACAGATCTTTTCAGCATGTTTTGTCCTCACTCACACATTTTCCAAAAAATTTCCCAAAAGTTCACCCATCCAAATACTGATCCAAGTCAAGCACGCTTAAATATTAAATTCTTAGTTGTTAGGCTACTTAAAAAAAGATGCATCTTGTTGGTATATGTAGTATCAATTAATCCTTATAAGTCTTCCTCCAACCATGCAGTCACATATATACACAGCCTTAGGATGCCTCTCATTCTGATGTGAATTCATTTTTTCCCTAGAAATTGTCAAGAGACGCTCATTGTCATGCCTCGTGCACCAGCGACCACTCCCCGCCCTCGTCGGCCTCAGGCGTTACACTCCTAAGAAGGTCAAACCAACACAAGTGACAATTTAACAGTGCGGTATCTTTCCTAATTTGAACATGTTGACAAAATTTTCTCAATTCTTCGACTTCAAAATCTCAAAATAAGTGTTTATAAAGACGTGTTTCCCCGAAATGAGTCATCCTATATCAAGTGCATATAATACAATGTGTATTGATATGACAAGATATCAGTTCGCGAAAACATTTTTCCACTGTGGGGTGCCCCACCTCAAAATCTAATTGATTGAATCATGTGTACTTAGTGGCTTTCTAAATCACTGCATTTTGTTCAAATTTATTTGAAACCGGGATGTTTTATACCACTGACATCACCAAAGTGGATAACTCATTCAACAAAGGAAGCTGAAACTTGGGTAGATCATTTTATGGATAGGATGCAATAAGTCACCAAGTTGACCAAGATTGAAAGAGAATCAAATAAACAAAATTTAAAGGTAGAATCACCCATAGATATAGATTTAGACGGTGACAAATGTTTTGATTCATTTAAGTTTTTCTCTAACAATGTATTTAGGTGGTTATACATGTTTTGTATGTAGTGCTGGATTAATATAAACCATGTCAAATGTATACATTTTCATAAATTTTAATGCATGTTTCAATTTTCCAAAATTGTTAACATTGTCGTGTGTTATAATAGGTTATATTTCTAAAACAGGTTATGTGTGAATAGTAACGGGTGAATTTAGAAATACATTTCTAAATTCACATCAAATTGTTACAAAAATGATTACAGAGATTTATTCGGAAATACGTTTTCAAACGCATCCTAATTTTACAAAAACAAGGCAGGGTGTATTCGAAAGTACATCTCTGGAATCTCCCTTGAGAGAGAATTGGGTTTCTAAGGTCCATATTGATATAAAACTATAAATATAAGTGTGATTAAACTTGTTATCACAAACACACAGAGAACATATAAAATGTCTCAATGTGCATATCTTGCTTTTGTCTACTTCAAATGCGAGAAGTCCCCTCTTCAGTTTAGGTTCGCAGGGATCACCCATCTTGTCGATCTAAAATCCAAACTAGAGAATTTGTATTCAGACAATCAAAAAGTTGTGAAACTCTATTATTGTTCACCCTTAATTGACAATAATGGGAAAATACAATTCAACAGGTTTGAGCTGAAGACGGGTGAAGATTTAATTGTTATGTGGAATGCATTTCACTATTATGAAACAAAAGGTCCAATCGAGTTGGATGTGAAGATTGCGAGATCGATCGAAAATATTCTAAACATGTTAAAATGTCCTACTTGATGATAAAATGTATTGTTCGATATACATTAATGATTATCTATGTAATATTTTATTTTTATGTATCTCATAATAATCATTAATGTTAATTTATCTCTATTTCTTTTGCTTTTGCATTTGTTTAGTTCGGTAGTTTCTAAAAATACACATCCAAAATATATAAGGTAATGCATTTTCGTAATAATTTGTTCATAGATTAGGATTTGGTTTAATTACAAATAGATTGTGTGTGAATTGGGATGTATCTGAAAATACATTTCTAAATTTCCAAAATAGTTTTGTTTTTTCACTAAAATGAAGGAGTAACTCTTAGAGTGGGAATAGCAGTTCCCAAACTTTATCAAATAATCATACATCAGGCTAAGACTTCAATTGAAGCCCCATCTTAGTAGTTGTATGCTTTTATGATCATGTCTTCGTACTCTTACATAATGGGATCAAGGTGAGGTGCATAAAAAAAAATTCACTACTGGTGTCTTAGTCTTTCCCAACAACTGGTCACGAGGGAAGTAACAACTGCGTGTGAATTGATTTGAAAAGAAATTATGTACAACTTAATAAATAGAACTGGGCAGCAGACAAATAGAGGGCATTGGATTGTTGATTGGTTTGGGAATCACTTGGCTCTCTAAATCCTACGGTTATTTTCTGATATATATATTTACTATGTATTCTAATGGTTGTATTTCCTTATTTCCTCTGTATTCTGTCAAGAAGTTCCTAGAGTATAATTAATAAATATTCTAGTATTAATGTTGTTTCAGCTAAGCAAATTCATATAACTTTACAGGACGATAAATAAAGCCAAGCACGTAAATAAATTGTGCTTCTAATTAACCAAATACTGATAAGAATGTTTCAACTCTCGGTAGATAATTCCATTGAGCGAACTCCAGCCAAACCAATATGGTGGCTTTTAGAGACGCAATGCAAAATGAACAAAATAGCATTGCAAACCAATGTGGTCTACATTATTTGCCAAAATTACAGTAATAACTGCTCGGCAAAACTAAATATCTGAAATTAAACCTCCAGTAGTTCAAAATCACACTGCAAAATTGAATGTATGGAAATATAAAAGTCACTAAGCAGTTGCTTCCTTCAGATATGCAATAAGATCAGCGCGTTCTTGGGGTTTCTTAAGACCGGGAAACACCATCTTAGTCCCTGGAATATACTGCACAAAAGCATGACATACACAGATCAGTAACATAGTGGTGGAAACACATTTCTCACTATTACTAAGCAATAATAGGAGTGGAGAAGTATATGGCCGGCTTGGATTAGCTTACAACATATGAAAACATCTCAATTGAAGTAAGTAATTGATTTTAAACGAATAAAGAAAACCTTGTTTGTTATAGGTAGTAATGTAAAATTTAAGTAAGAAAGCTTCTAAAAATCATGAGATTAAAAAAGCTCACTTCAATTTATGCAAAAAAGTTATAGGTTTTAAGATTTATTTCAATTTTATTTTGCTGAAAGTGTTCATTGAAAGGTTTGTCCAAATTCGTTGTGAAACTCGTTGAATAGATTAATAGTCAATCAATATAGAAATGCTAGATCGTAATTGTACCTTTTTGGGATTAAGCAAGTAATCATATAAAGTCTTCTCCTCCCAATTCACAGCCATGGCCTTGTTAGCTGCTGAGTAGGAATATCCGGGAGTAGTGCCTGATTGCCTTCCAAACAAACCATTCAGATTGGGACCTGAGATTGTCAACAAAGCAAATATTTTTAGTCTTAAATACACATAACCAAATTATCATTCAATAAGTTCATAAATGCAACAACTAAATTACATAGATTATGATAAAATTCAGTGCCAGCAAAAGCCTAATGAATAAGGTATACTGATATTATGTGCTGAAAACAGAAATCAACGAATTCACGATATTGTCCCTGCATACAAAAGTTTTAATATCCTCTGTTTTGAAAAAATTACACAAGTAAATCCGTCAAATCCATGTCCAAATCCATAAAATTGTAAATCAAAGTCATCCAACTTAAAACAGAACTACTTAATAATGATATTCTCAACGAAGATCTAAACAGATTTAAGTATCCAACAATAAATCTTATGCATCAACTTTCACTCGAATTTCAGGCGCAATTGTCTCAACTAACTATATTCTACCGCTAAATAATACAAACACAGATAATTTTCGCAGAAAAAAAAACAAATACATGCATTAACAATGAAGAATAACAATTAGATAACATAAACGCAAACTACATAACGTATGAATATAGATTAATCAAGGTTAAAACAATGCAAAATCACGAATCCAATTATAGATCTAAGCCTTATATTAAATAAACTCAAATCAAAAACGAAAAAAAAAAAATCGATCTAACCTTGTTTGTGGCCGGCACCTTTTTCTGCGGTGTGGCACTGAGCGCATTTGGTTCTAAAGATTTTATCTCCGGCTTTGGAATCACCGGGTGGTGCTTGTTCAAACGACGCCATTGCTTGATTTCTCCGCAAAGAAAAACGAGAGTTAGGTATTAGGTTTTGGGTTGGGCTAAAGAAAAGCAAGAACAATGAGAGTATTTATAATAGGAGCTGCGTTGGAAAATGGAACGCGGTCGCCACGGTGCATGCATATTAGTCCGCCCTAGCATTTTTGTCGACGTGGATCGTTTTGGCACATCAAATTCTTTTTTCTTAGCGTTAGCGTGAGGCAAAAGCCATGTTTGGTATATGGTTTTGGGTGGGCGTTGTAAAGTTTATGTTCGCATTTTTATTCTGCATGTGAAAGATATTATCAAAATTCACAATATTCTTGCGCGTATAATAATATTAATAATATAATAACATGAGACTTGATAAATTGACATTACATTGTCACACACTCAATAAACGACACTTGTCATGATAACTACTTCCAGTATTTTATAATTGGTTATGGTGGCAGCTATGTGTCGTATTGTGGAGGAAGAAGATGATGTGGACAAAGCTGACGTCCGGAGGGATGTTTGGAAAATTAACGCTCTTAAACGGGCGCGCTATTTCATTTGGCTGCTACAGTATGATGGCTTGTTGATCAATAAAAAGAAATATAGGATGAATTTTGGGAGTGTCATGTGTAATTGTTGTGGAGATGTTGAAGAGGATGTGCTCTATGTGTTTCGAAATTATATAAAGCAGTGACAATGTGGCTAACTGTAGTTTCTACTAACAATCGTGTTAATTTTTTTTGCAGGTGATTTGAAAATATGGACTCAAATGAACATGCAAAGAAATTTGAGGTGAAATGATACAGAAGATTGGAGTATTTTTTGGGCTAATGCGTGCTATTGGATTTGGAAGTGGCATAATCTTGAGATTCACAATGATAACTATCAAAGACGGGTGTGCATGATTTCACACATTAACAAAAGTGTTCGGGAGTATAGAGAGGCTTGACCTGCTTCTCAAATTGCCTCAAATTTTCGAAAGGTGGAACATGATATTAAGTGGGAGCCTCCTCTATTAGGATGGATCAAATTTAATGTTGATGGTGCATGTGACAATTTGTGTAAAGTTGGTTGCAGTGGTACTGTAATGGTTGATGCAGCAGAATGACTTTGAGGGTTCTCAAATGCGTATGTGGCCGAACTTTGGAGTGTTTATGAAGGCCTTCATCTTGCTCATGGCATGAGCTTTCACAAAATTATTATTGAGATTGACTCTCAACAAGTTATCGTGGACATCATCAGTATTGATGTATTAATAATATGCGGAGCAATTTGATTTCAAAAATCAAGAGGTTCCATGGCAATGGTTCATAAGTGAGTTTCAAACACTTTTATAGGGAAGTTAATATGTGTGCAGACGCTCTAGCTAAACATGACATTCATCTCCAAGGAAATACATGTAACTTTGTTGCGTGTCCCTTTTTCATTAAGCACTTGGTAGACAATGACTTATTTGAGGATCCTATATCCGTTTTGTAGTTGAATAGTTTTTTCTCTTTTCGGACTTCGGCCCCCTTGTAACTATATATATATATATATATATAATTGGTTGGCTTAATTAAAAGATATTGTTGGATAGGGTGTGTATACAATTTAGTTTAAATGCACTCTTAGGGCATGTTTGTTTTAGCTTTAAAAAAATAGATTTTTTTTATTTATATTTTTTAAAATAGATTTTGTAAATCTGTTTTTCAAAATATTATAAGTTTTTTTATATTCGTTTTTACTAAGTTGAAACACTAATTTTGACATCCTATACATACATATACATTATTGAAGATTAAAACATAGTCAAAATCGCAATTTTTTAAAAAAAATGGTATTTTAAAAATATTTTTTATGAAAATCTATTTGAAATAGCTTCAAAATTAAGTGATTTTTTGAAATTTTAATATCCAAAAAAAAGTTTCAATAAAATGATGAAATACCTAAAATAACATTTTAAGAATAACTATTCAAACTAAATTTTCATTTGAAGCTTTTATGAAAAGTTTTTTTGTAAATTTTTTTTGCACAAAATTATGTTACACTATGAAAATCATTTTTTTTTAAAGTCAAAACAAACGGGCTCTTAATCTCTCTATTTCAAGATTTTTAAGTTTTAAGCTAATGTTTGGATTTCATGAAATAAACAGAGTGTAATAAACCGGAGTGAGATGAAGCGGAGCGGAACAAAGATATCATTTTATTATTTGGAAATTTTAGGAGAGAACAAGGTAAGTTGTTCATTGCGCCTAAATCAGAGGGTAAGAAAAATGGTAGTAAGTGAATGGAATGAAATTCATACCACTCAATTCCGCTCCGCTCTATCTATTTTTAAATTATCCAAACAATAAAATATTATTTTATTCCATCTCATTTCGCTCTGCTCCATCGGGTTCCATTAATCCAAACAAAGTTTCCATTTTAAAATTCAGCTTTCTAGTCCCTAAACTTTACCTCATTTGAAATTTTGTTAGTTCTCCTCCGCTTTTGTCAGTGATTATGATACAAATTTATTTTTAATTATTTTTAATGATGTGTCAATGCTAATTGAGATGATTTATTATTAATTTTTTTTAATTATTTTAACTAATAAGTTAATACTTTTTAATAGTGTGATTTAAGAAATTTATTATTAAATAATTTTTAATTATTTTACTGAATAAATTAATAATTTTTAATAAGTTCATTTTAAATTAATTAAAATAATTTTTGGACTAAATTCCATTATATTTTAGCATGAGCTCAATAGCCAACTTCACATTTTTGTAAGTATGAAAGTGTTATATAAACACTAAGGACATTTAATGAAAAATTGATGTGAAATTTATTTTAAAACACAACTAGTAACAAACCCGTGCTATCGCACGAGTCTCGTCTGGATTCACATTACATTTATAGATTATTAAATTATTAAGTATGTTACCATGTTTTCAGTTGAGTATATGTCTCATGTAAACCATATTGACATTTAACTCCATATTTGTAGCAAGCGTCGGTCCTATCAACAAATCACGTCTGCATGAACAAATAGGAAAAATTATATACTTCTTGAAATACATGGAAAATGTACATACTATATATTTTAATTCAAAATAGATTTTTAATTTGAATCGTAAAGTATAAGATATAAAGTTTACCAACTATCAAAGTGCTTGAAAGACTTCCTTGTACACAACATTAGTAGTAGTAGAACACGGTACATTCTCCTTGTCATGAATTAGGATTTTTAGCCCACTTTTGCTCTTAACTCTTGAAATTGCAACATATAATTGACCATGACTAAACACAGGAGTAGGCAAATACAATCCAACACTATCAAGAGATTGACCTTGTGACTTATTAATTGTCATTGCATAGGAGACAATAATCGGAAATTGTCTCCTAATCAACTTGAATGGACAAGGTGAATCAGAAGGTGACATAGACATTCGTGGAATGTAAAAAATGTTACCTATCTTCTTTCCAGACATGATTTTTGCCTCAATGACATGATTTGCAAATCTTGTAACAATTAATCTTGTTCCGTTGCACAACCCATCGGCTTGGTCCAAATTTCTCATTAGCATAATAGGTGTACCAACCTTCAATTTGATCCTATGATTGGGAAGCTCTGACGTTCTTAATTTACTGAGAAATTCAGGAGTTAGAACTTCATATGCTTCAGTATAACTTGAATCTGTTCTATCAATGGAATCAAAACTCAAATACTCTTTCTCTTCTCCTAAAAAAAAGTTTAAAAGCAAAACATAAATAAATTAGTAAAACTATGTTCTTAAATATATATATATATATATATATATATATATATATATATATATATATATATATATATATATATATATATATATATATATATATATATATATATATATATATATATATATTATGAATGTAATAATACAGTAAATATAAAACACATGTACCTGGTATCAAGTCTAATACATAATGATTGATTTTGTCCACAACTTCAATGGTTGAAGCAAGAATAGCCCGGAACCCCAATTCTTTACTTCGTCGATGGCTGCAACATATTCCTTGTCATCGTTAAGAAAGCCCATTTCGAAGCATGCTTCCCTAAAAGAATCCTGAACTTTTCCACCCACAAATTTTATATCCTCATAGCATGTTGGACCTTTGACGACTGTTAGCATCATTCTCAAAAAATATAACTCACCCGTACTTGGAGGGACCCAAATAAGTCTGCCAATTGTATTTCCTCTTTTACGCGGTCTCCATCGACGGTATCTTTTATCATAAACAAATTTGGAAAGAAATTGTGAGTACGTCAAATTCTTTGCCTTTGGGTATGCTTTGTTTGCTTCCATCCATGCCGTAAACATAGATTCTTTCACAGTTGGTTTGTCAAGTACCTCATCTATCAATTCATAATCGGTATAATAAACAGAGTTGTCTCCTTCAAGATGAAAGAACAACCTTTCAACTGCGGGTGATCTACCATGAATAGGAAATGAAAAAAGTCCCCAACATGCCTCACTTGGTGAGATATATCTGCAATCAAGATATTGCTTGATTTCGTCAACCATTCTGACCGAGGGAGATCCATCACCGTCAGTTTGGACAACAGCAGTAGTAATTCTATCATACCCCTTGTTAATATACTTAAATAAGTATTTAACTGAAGTACTTTGATTACACCACTCCATATTGATGTGTGCTTGGAATTTCTTCAACAAATATGGATTGTAAGGAACTACATATCTGTTATCAAGTTTGTATTTAAAATTATATTCTTTAATATTAGATAAACTATTAAAAATATAATTTCCTTAATTCTCATATATTAAATATGACTTTTAGAGTGATGCATGTCAATTGATCCCCATAAACACCAACAACTATATGTTTAGAAATATATCATAAAAAATTATATTAATTCTCTTTAATTTTTCATATATTTTGTGTGTTAGATACTAATCACTAAAAACTCATACATATTAAATATGACTCTTTGGAGTCATACATGTTATATTATAATGAATAATATAATCCATTCTTTACTAAAAAATAATCGCATAAAATTTTCTTTACTTTTGAAAAAGTATAAAATCAATCACTTACAACTTTAAGCTTAGAGAAGTAATATTGTTAACATTAATTGTTTATCTCTAATTTACCTTAAGATGTATTTTCATCTATTTATTTTTCTTTTTAACACTTGCTTATAAGTAAAATTTGCACATTACATGAATTACTTTACTAATATCTTTAAAAAAATGTTATCTATATAACTATTTAATTATACTATTAATCTATTTTAATATTTTGAATGCATTGTTTATATATAACTCTTTTTATGTTGTCAATTAATAAAAGTAAAATAATGGAAATACGTAAATATTTTTTATGGAAAAAAAGTTAATATTTTTTAAATATTTTTTCATGGTTTTAGATAATGTAACATGAAAGTATAAATAGTGAATGACATTATATACCACATTTTAAAATAAAAGGAAAGTATCAATTTATATATTTGATAGATAATGAAAAATACAAATTCATTATATTTGATATAGAGAATAAATTATTTTAAAGAAATGTGTATAATAAGAGAATAAATTTACGTTATATATATATATATATATATATATATATATATATATATATATATATATATATATATATATATTAAAATGTAGCCATTGATGTTACTATTTAGACCTGTTACAAAATCTGTATTAAAATGGACAC